AATACAGTTCCTCATGTTGTGGTGACCCCCAACCATAAAATTATTTTTGTTGCTACCCTATAACTGTAATTTTACTACTGTTATGAGTCGTAATGTAAATATCTTTTTGTTTTCCGATGGTCTTAGGCAACCCCTGTGAAAGGGTCGTTCAACCTCCAAAGGGGTCGCGACCCACAGGTTGAGAACCGCTGCTCTACAGCCTTGATAGAGAATGGTGGTAAAAGAGAAAGGGGTTGTGAATAAATATCAGTCTAAGCAACCAACAGTGTCTGCAATAGCAGAATGGGGATACAAGGCCAAGAAAGAGATTGTGCAGAATTTTTCTCATTCTGGGGTGGGTATTATCACTTTGGTGTGTGACCCTGGGTGTCCAGAAGAGACTACTGATAATAAAGCCAAAAGAGCTCTAGGTTCTCCTTAAGACATCGCAGGAGTCAAAATGAACCTTGCCCTGTCTTCATTAGTACTTTGTAGCAGTAGTGATATTATTACTCTTTACAAAGTGCTTTTTTTAGAGTATTGCTATGCCTGTATTACAGTTGAAAAAGTAAACTCAAGAAGGTTAGTATTGGTAACAAATTCTCACTTGAAAGGCACTGATTCTTTCCCTGCCGCTGCCCAGGGACACAGAGGCAGAAGCTCGGGGACATTGGATTCGGTTCCATCTGTAACCCACTGCCATGGCTGAGGAAGACATTGTAACTGGTGGTGTAATGGATCTTAAAACTGCTTTACAAGAGGTGCTGAAGACAGGCCTCACCCATGATGGCGTAACATGGAATTCACTGCCAAAGCCTTCAACAAGCGCCAAGCTCATCTTTGTGAGCTTGCTTCCATCTGTGATGAAACTGTATATGTCGAGTTGGTGGAGGCACCAAATCAACCTCATTAAGGTTGATGATAACAAGAAACTAGGGGGTTTCGTAGGCCTCTTTAAAATTGATGGAGAGGGAAAAACCCTTTAAAGTAGCTGGTTGCAGTTTGTGTGGTAGCTAAGGACTATGGCAAAGATTCTCAGGCTAAGGATGTCATCGAGGGGTACTCCAAATGCAAGAAATTAACAAATGAAAAATGACTCTTGTTAAAATAAGTAAATAAAAAAAATTAAATGGACACAAATCCTCATTTCCTCCCAGCATGTGCCATTCAACGACTCTTGACTCTTGGGCTTGATATGCACAGGAAATGATCCTTCTGTAAAAATGGTTCTTTTCAGCACCCAGCTAAAGTCACACCCTCTGCCCAGTTGGTTAACTCTTCTTGTCCTGGATGGATTGTTCTTGATTCATGTCTCTGATGTGGCAGAAGGACTTCTGATCTGGGTCTTAGACCTGGTTTAGCAACTCTTTCATTGCCTGACATGGGCAAGTCACCAACCACTGTGTCCGCCTTGCCTGCTGTCAGATTAGCGGCACATGTGTTCCTCCCTGTCTTTTTACCAGTGCCTATTACATGCACATATTTGTGCCTCATCCTCACCTTCTCCCTTCTTTCTTCCCAGAAAGTGATGTCAGCATCCAGCCCTGGATGCTGACAGATGCTCAGACCACCACTAATGACAATACAGGGGAGTGTGCTAGATAAGGCTGTTCTGTTCAGATCCTGGTTCACTGTGTATTGTTTACAGAAGAAATGTTCTAAGGTAGAGGAAGAGGAAGCTTGCCAAGGATGTTTAATGGGATCTTGTAAACATTTGTGTTCTGGGTAACTGTTAGTGTTTCTTATTTGGGACTCTTTATTTTAAAGAACTGAAAAGACTGTGTAGGTAAGAATTCAGAAGTATACACCAGCATCATTCCATGCTGGGTTGGCAGGCACTGCTTAAAGACTCCAATTCCCACATCTTGCCTTCTTTCTTACCATCAGAACCCTGATTTTGCTCAAGGCAGCAATATGCCCAATTTAAAATACCTTCCCAGATGCCCTTCCATTTAGGAGTAGCCATTGGACCCAATTCTGGCTAATGAGATGTAGGTGCAAGCTGCTGGGTGGGGAGGCTCTCAGGAAACCTTTTCTAAAGGGGAAGAGCCTTAGCTGGCATTTGCTTTTGTCTTGTTCTCTTCTTGTTCTTTTTTTGCTTGAAATACAGACTCAATGCCCAAGCATCCATCTTGCATCGTGAACACAACAATTACATGCTGAAGATAGCAGAGTAGAAAGATAGAATGACTGTAGGTCCTTGACAATATTAGACAGCTTCCTACCTGCTGACACCTTATGTAACAATAATCAACCAATTAAACAAATAGACCAAAAAAAAGTCTATTTGGCTAATCAATTATAATCCAGTTACTGTTCAATACAATCAAACACAATCTTAATTGATAGACTATTAAGACATTGAATGTGCTATGATAGAAAATGGATGCAAATCGATTGCAGAGTCCTTTAGAGCTATGCTGGTCAAACTTTCATGTGCATATATACACACCACGTGGGGACCTTGTTAAAAACGGAGGCTCTGATTTAGTAGGTCTGGGCTGGAGTCNAAAATCCTTCTGCACTGCTAATCTGGAACTCTAAGGATGAGTCATATAACCTATGAGTCAGTTTATCATTGTATTTAAGTAGTTAGATGAGTTACATAAAACTAAGATTCAAATCCAATGTTTCTTATGTTTTCCTAAGTGTAAGTGGTAAACTCTTATGAGAAGCCACATTGAAATTTAAGTGTACACAAGTGCAGCCATGCTCGGGTATTTGTAAGAGTATAACTGATGGTGCAGGTGAAGCAGAGAAGGTCTCTAGGAAACTTCACTTCTTCATGCTTATAATTGTTTTTATTATAGACCACAATATCATAGCACCAGGCTTCCTAAAACCAAACAATCTTATTCTCCTGCCTGCCAACATAAGTAGTGGCTGATGTCCCAGATCCTTGCTTGACTTAGGTGTGCTTCACTACCTTTTAGTAGTTCCATCATGGGGAAAAAATGTGAAGCGTCAAATCATTTTTCTTATTACCATTGTTATTGATAGTTACTTTGGCATTGAGTTTGGGCAGGGATATATTTGAAACAGTTGGAATGAGGGGTTTTAATGACTTTTTAGCGGACAGTGGAATAATGCAAAACAAGATTTCTAAATGGAGATGGTAAGGGTTAAGAAAGGGTAACAAAATGTCCCTACAAAGGTGACAAACTCCTATCTACCACACATTTGCACTAGTTCAATAAAGTATGTACTGGAGAGCATTTGAGATCTTGCTTCCCAGCATATGTCGTCATGTTGGCTCAAATAAACTCTTATAAAAGAAAGAAAAGTATGTACTTGATGTACATAAATTATCTACTTGTCATCTTTTCCTTTAATGTGCAAACATATTTTTTCTTAAGTCTCCATCAACTAAGAAAAGTCTGGTTCTCTGACCATCTATTTTCAAAGTTTGTTGGCTTATGTGTTCCTGGCTTTCTTTACTCTGAATTTCTGCTTCTCCTGGTTTCTTAATTACTCTAGTGGCTAATATTCCTCCTTCCATGCACACATCTCTTCCCGTCTTCACTCTGCCATTAGTCAGAACTCTTTTTGCTACAAATGACAGATATACACCATGAAGGGAATTTACTGGATCACAGAGCCAGGAAGGCTGGGGTAGCTCAAGAGAGGAGTGAGAACCCAGGCCTCAGGACCTGGCCTCTCTCTCTCTTTTTCTCTCCAACTCCCAATTCTGCCTGGTTTCATTCTCCCCCATTACAGAGTGACCTTCTCTATGTGGCTGGATAGATGGCTGCCTGAAACCCCAGGCCTCCATCTTTACAACTCTCTATGCAAGAGGGTAATAGAGAACTAATGCTAACTCCCCCAGGTCCAATTGGGAAAACTCTGGTGAAGGACTTTGGCCCAGCTGAGGTCAAGGGCCCCTACCGTGGTTCTGTCCCTGTGAGCTAAGGAATATGGCGTTTTGATTGGCCAGCTTGGGTCACGTGTCTAACTCTGAATAGGGTGAGGAATCTGGGGCACTGTGATTAATTGCTCTTCCAGGACCACATGAAGTAGAAGGAGTTCCCCAAATGTAAAGGGGTGCTATTACCCCTTTACAAGAAGAAGACAGCAGACAGAAACAAATGCCTCTGCAGCCCACTGCATGCCACAAGCATGGCTCGAGCAGCATCTTCCCATCCCACAGAGCATCACCAGTGCTAGGCCGTTTTGTGTAATAGAGCTTTCCTGAAGGGTGAGGATAACAAAGAACAATGGCAGCATGACAACCGCACACCCAGTGCTGCACAGATATTCATTTAAAGTAGAGTATTTGACATGTTCTAGTCCCTGAGCCAATTCCACCAGCCTTCTGGGGCAGCAGACATGTTGACCCATGACCTCTGAAGCCCGCTCTCCCTTACCAGATGGTTCTCCTCCAAGTGTCCAAGGATCTCAAATATCCTCCTACGTGAGTTTCCACAGGACACAATCCTAAATTCCTGCTACTTTATCATGCACAGCCACTGAGTTCTTTTTTGTTGTTGTTTTTCTCCTTCCAGACCTGTTTCATAGTTGAAAAAAAAAAAAACCCACCAAAAAAACCCCAAAACTCATGAAGGTATTTTCAAAAACAAAAGAGAAAATTTTCTCCTTAGGAAGAATCTTTCCATCCTGTGATATTGTGATTTAGAATAAGAAATATATACTTTTTAATATATTTTATAAAATATATAAAATAGCTCCTAAAACCATAATAATTTTCTAAATAAGAGCAATGGGAGCACCTTTTGTTATAATATTTGGTCTTTTGTCCTCAAATAGCTCCAATTTCTGAAATATTAATAGCTTTAGAATGATGAAGGTAAAAGGAGTGTCTTGTTATTCATAACAAGTCCTTTCAACCATACCTGAGTTTATGTTAATAAGGTAATTTTTGGAAAGCCCCTAGACAAGATGGGGCCCTGTTTCCAGGAGAACTAACCATGTGATTAGAGTATTGGAACTTTCAGCCCCACATCTATCACCCACAACCTTCAGAGAGGAGAACCAGGGGCTGGAGATTGAAATTAACCCTAAGGGGCTGGAGATTGAATTTAGTTCTGAATGGTCGTTGATTTAATCAATATTGCCTACATAATGAAACCTCCATAAAAATCCCTAAAGTACAGGATTCCAAGAGCTTCCAGGTTGTGAACACATGGAGGTGCTGGGAGGGTGACTGCCCAGAGAAGGCATGTGAGTTCCACACCCCTCCCCCACATCTTCCATCTGGCTGTTCCTGAGTTATATCCTATATAATAAACTGGTAATCAAGCAAATAAATAGTTTTTCTGAGTTCTGTGAGCTGTTCTAGCAAATTAATCAAACCCAAGGAGGGAGTCATGGGACCCTCTGATTAAAAAAAATAAAAAACATGCCTACCATCAATATGGTATATATTAATATATTAAGTTAATATTAAGGTTTATTCTGAGTGGTGGGATCTTGAGTAATTTTTATGGGTTTTGTTGGTTTTATTGCCTGCCTTCCTTCCTTTCTTCCTTCTTTTTTTTTTCTTCCAGCTAGAAATCTCACATTTATTTCTCTTGTTTTTGAATTTTCAATTTTATTCACTTCTGCTCTTATTATTACTTTGTTCTGCTGGTTGTGGGATGATTTTGCTCTTATTTTCTTAGATTCTTAAGGTAGAAGTTTACATTATTGACTCAAGACCTTTCTTATTCTCTAATTAGACATGCTATAAATTTCTCTCTAAGCACTATATTAGCTATATCCTGAAAATTTTGATGTATCGTATTTTCATTTTTGCTCAGTTCAAAAATTTTTTCTAGTCTCTTAAGACTTTTTTTTTATCCATGGATCATTTAAAAGTGTATTGTTTAATTTCGAAGTATTTGAGACTCGTCCTGTTAACTTCGTTATCGATTCCTCGTTTAATTTTGTTATCATCAGAGAGCATACCTTGCATGATCTCTTTTCTTTTTTTATTGTGAAATACACATTTTAAAAAATTAGTTTCAGCTGTACAACACAGTGCAATAGTTATACTTTTTACNTGTCACATGCTGAAGCAGGACAGGGTCAAACCAGGTCAGAAATGCCTCCTCTCCTGTTGGCATCTATCACCCCCTTTCTCTGACACAGAACTTCAGAGCTGGAAAGAATCTTGGAGAGGAACTCCTCCAGTCCTCTCCTATAATAGCCCAGGAGAAGGAGGCCCAGAAAGACTTATGTTCCCAGTGTTGTACTAGTGACCAGTACCCTAGAATGGAAAGCCTTCTCTTCAGTTTCAGTCCTGTGCTCCTGTGCTCTGCTTGACCTTCTTTCTTTCTTTCTTTCTTTCTTTCTTTCTTTCTTTCTTTCTTTCTTTCTTTCTTTCTTTTTTCTTCTGGGGTGGGGCCCCAAATTTGTATTTCTAATGAGTTTCCAGGCAATGCTGATGCTTCTGATCTGAAGACCCACTTGGTGATCCGATGATGCAGGTCTTTGAACATGGAACAGGAAATTTAGATTTATTTTATTGTTTCTAAGTGTAATGGAAAGCCCTTACGTGATTTCAAGCAGTAGAGTCTGAATAAAGAATATATTGGAGGAAGAGAGTAGAGAAGAAAAGTACAGTGTACTCTCAAACTATTTGTATCTTTGGATCTAAAATGTGTCTTCTGTAGAAGGCACATAGTTAGATCTTGTTTTGTTTTTTTCCGTTTTTTTTTTTTTTAACCAGTCTGACAACCTCTGCATTTGATTGGATTGTTTTATCCATTCACATTTAATGATGTAGTTGGATTTATGTCTGCACTCATGCTTTTTTTGTTTTCTAATGTCTCATTACTAATTTGTTTCTCTTTTACAAACTTCAATTAAATGGATATTTCCTACTATAATATTTTAATTCCTTTAATATTTTTTCACTGTGATTTTTTTAAAATTAAATTTATTGGGGTAACAATGGTTAGTAAAATTACATAGGTTTCAAGTGTACATTTCTATAACACATCATCTATATTCTGCTAGACCCTTTTCAACAGGCTATTCTGTCTCTAGTTTGATAGACAAAATCAAGAGGGCCACAAACTAAATACAGGCAGGCGGTTGGTACCATTTTAAATGGGCATTGACTATCCTCTCAGGATATCAATTCCAGCCACAGCCACCCACTGGAACCACCCACCACTGCTCATTTTGCCTAAAGAACACAGGAGAGAGGAAACTGTTGTCTCTGATCTTATTTCTTGCCTTAGAAAGGTTCCATCTATTTCCATTGACACAGTTATGCTGGCTCTTCCATGAACATTTTTGCTGCTTCTTTGTGGAGTCCTCAGTCCTTCAGAAATATTAATCAAATGTACAGATTTCTAAATTGGACTCAGACTCGAGGACTGTTAAACGTGTACTTCTTTTCCTCGTTTTGTTATTTAATTGCTATTATATAATACAAAGGCTACTAATGTTCTTCCATTTAATCGGGTGCATTTTCTGTTATTATGTTTTTGTGGATTCCTGTTACAGGACTTTGTATGAGGTTTCATGGATAGGCTCCAGTTGACTTTA